CTGTCTGTCTGTCTGTCTGTTTGTGTCTCTCTCTCTCTCTCTTTCTCTCTCTGCGGCACAGTTTAAAGATCATAAGCTTCCAGAATCCCAAAAATTTTACGAGCGAGTAGTGTGTGCTAGAAAGCGTATGAAAGCGCGTGTTGATCAAAGCCCCCTTAGGATTGCAAGAGTTGCAGTCGGCCGAAGGAACATGGACTGCAGGCACTGACCAGGAACTGCAGGCTGCAAGAGCCATAGAAACGGGGGGTTGCACTGGGACTGTTTTCAAGAGCCGCAGGAACACAGGCGGCGGGGGCAACTGCAGGAAGAACTGCAGGATTTGTCGCTTGCATGCGACATGAATACAGCACCGCGGATAGGAAATACTAAGAAAATGACCCCCTCACATGAACCGTTTTCCCGCTGGACCTAATGTTTGGTATTTGGTGAGTAGTAGCTTGTTTTTTTTTTGGGGGTCTTTGTCGCATGCATACACAAGTAATTGTAGCATGTCCGGGAACGTGTTGCATTTGGGTCTATATGGGTCCGCTCTGTGTGGTTGTTTGCGTCGCAAAACACAACAGTGAAGCTATGTTTGGAGAGCGACTTCTACAAGCACAAGCCTCGAGCATGATGACTCTCATCTGTGCAGCGACAGGCTTTGTTAGAGCATTCCGCTGACATGGACGCGATCGGCCCAGGAGGCCATGATTATGGACGCAAAAGTGAGGCATCCCTAGCCACCTTGTTGGTGCTTGTTGAAGTAAGCCGTGCTTCGCCACGGGTTATTGAAGCGGCTATTGAACATGCAGTGACTCCAGCAGGTTGGCCTCCAATCTTCTTTGCTGCTTTCTACTGCGACTTTGATGCCTACATCTGAGTTGGATCGATCTTGGGCGGTGGGTGATTATGGACTGTCAGGTTTGAGCCACATCTGAGGTCATGAGAGCGCTCATACACGCGCAGGCGGCCAGCGAGTGTGGTGGGGGTGGCGTGCATCGACAAATCTCGAGAAGTTAAGTACCATGTGCTGATGGCGTGGTGCATGCGTGCCGACACACGAAGGGTGACTTGGTGCAGCATGTGAAGCTCGGTGTCGACACAAACTCACATGTGGGAGCTTATGCAAATCTTTATTTCTTGCGCTGTGCACCATCCTTCTGGCGCGTAGATCCGATATGTTTCCCGGAGAGAACCCCTGCTTCGGTAGCCTACTGTACAAGTTTGCCTGCAGCTCCGCCTTTCCGCGCGAGGGTAAGAATGAAATTGACAGTAAGTCTTGCTTAAGCTGGGGTTGTCGGAGCATGCGGCTGTTAGGCTTTTCTAGATAATGATCCACAAGCATAATTACATGCCACCGATGTTTTGACCTTCTCACCTGGCAGTGTGACGTGAACATCCGCGACGAGTCGGGACGATCGCTGGCCAGCTGGGCTAGATATGGAGACCAGGCTGTCACGAAAGCATAGCAATAGACAACAATGAGCAGAAGTGCAGCAGATGGCAAGATATGACAACTGCAAATGTCTCTGCAGGACCGGGAGCACCAAAAGGCGTGGTTGCGGATCAGTTTGCATCTTCTGCTCACTGCTGGGCGGCTCCGTTCAGAGCTCGATCTTGCAGCAAGGCAGTTCTCAAGATGCTGTACCGCCATGGCTTCCCTCCTCCGGTGGAGGCGCTGGAAGGAGCGCCATTGACGTGCCTAGCCACAAGCTGCCAGGCCAAAGTGAAGCTGGGTCAGCTGCCAGGGCCTGAGATTCGATGGATTCTCATTTCATCCGTTTGCAATGGCTTTGCACCCTCTTTTCTTCGATCATCGCATTCGTGTGCGGCGTTGGCCTGAGATTTTATTGGGTCTCACGTCCGTGGTTCGGACTCACAAGAGTATGTGGGGCCCGCTCAGCTGCGCAGCATCCCCCTTTCCTTCATCGCTGTATTCACTTGTTGTGGAAGAACCGGTCTGTGAGCGATGTTGGCCTGATCGTGATTACCCGGCACCTGTGCGGACTGGACTAGCACGGACCTTTGGCTTCTGGCAAGAAAGGGGCACTGCTGTGCTTTGTTAGTAACACTGGAGGCTATGTTCCCGAGGGACTGCTTGAATCATGGCTGAAGTACCGTTCCGCTGATTCGAATTTCTTTGTTTTCCTTTTCTCTTCTATTTCAGCACCTTTGTGAAATGCGGTGGGGCATCGCTGACAGCTTGTGGGGTGTTTGCGCGAGAGCTGTTTCAAGCGGTTTGGGACTGCGGCCGTTCCCCTCCTGACATCCGTTGGCCTTGACTAGCGGGCCCGCTTCCGTGAGAATCTTGCCTTTGAGCTCCACGGCTCCCTTGCTTGCTTTGCAGCTTCTGTGTCTGTCTAGTGCGACAATCAAGAGAGTTCTTAATTTGAGGCCGCTCCGGGAGGTTGTTTAGCCCTTCCCGATTCCCTTGCAACTTTGGGCTCGCAACCTTTGGTGGCAGCTGGGCCGCCAAGTGTTTTCCAAATTGGGTTGCAGCCTTGCTGCAAGATTTCTTTTACGCCGGCATGGCGTGGTACATTGCCGGCGGAAAGTTTGGCACAGAAGGATCGAGAGTGCCGGAAGTGGCTTCGTCCTAGAGCAGTATGTGAGCGCGCGTTCGACAAGCCGGGAATAGCCGGGAAAGGTCTTGGACAACATCAACAACAAAGCTCGACAATGTGAGCTTCGAAACCCCCGTTCTGCTTGAATCTCCAGCGACGGAGGCCAACCGAGTTCTTGAGGGGCTTTAGGTTGCTAGATGAACTGAACTCGGAGGGACTCACCTCCCCGTTTTCAGCACGAGGATGGTTCCTGGCAGCCGTTTGAGCAGGTGGAAACTGAAGCACTTCGTGCGTTCAACGACCTTCACATCGACAACCCCTTTCTCATCGTCGCCACCAAGGGCCAACGAAGCCGGTCAAGGCTGGTCAGAGCCAGCGCCTTGGCGACTTCCGATGCGCCCAGTGAGGCTATGCTGGTCGCCAAGCAGTTGATGCAGAGATCAGCTGTCACAGCTGTTGAATGCGCCAGGCAAATTCTGACCGAAAGTGACGAAAGCATTCGGGTGTACAGGGTTCTGGAAGAGGTTTGTTTCTGCGGCGCAGATTCGCTGTCGAAGTCCGGGTTTTTCCAGAACCGCGAGGCCGCCAGGTTCCAACAGGGCTGCTCCCGAGCCCTTTGTGTTCGTACCTGGAACCAGAGGGGAAACTCGAAACGGGTTAGGGCTTAGGGTTTAGAATCGACACACGTTTGCACATGAGTAGAGACGAGCACATGGCGATGCAAGCAGCGTGACTTTCACAGCAAGTGGCTTGAGGAGTACGAGGCAACAAGCGGCCATAGAGGCACCCAGCACCCAAGGTGCCGAAACTCATAAACATGGCAGCCATTGGCAGCCCGTCACCGAAGCAACTAAGGAAGCCCGACTTCTGGGCACCAATTCCAGTGGACCAAAAGCTTTCGGTACCTTGGCTTTCCGATGGCAGAAGCATGAGACCCTTTCCGTCTTGATCGTGTTGCTACAGTAGCAGCTGCGAACCAGCTGTTGCTGTCACTGTGAGTCACCGGAGTCTGACAGGAGCTGTTGGCCGACGGGGCAGATCTTATTTGGAAGGACGGATTCAACCGGCGCCCGTCGGATTGACAGATTTTGAGCATGTTCAGAGTCAGCTTATGCAAATTGCGCACGCTGTTTAACTCACGTAGATTCGGGCCAGTAGAAGAGCACATGTCATGCTAGCAGCGCAGTCATGCATCTGAGTCAGATTGAGTCAGCGTAATTTCAGTTTTGTTTCTGCAGGATTGTCGCGGGCGCACCTTCGGAAAGAGAAAGCTGCTGACTTACCGACACCACGAGTCCGACGATGAGGGAACCTCATCGAAGCCAGTACAGGGCGTATCCTTGAACCCCTTTCAAGGCAAGATTTAGGACGAGATTGCCGCAGTTTCTTGATTCCTTCCGGAACGACGGTGTGTATTCTCGTGGTTTCAGCTCCTCCCGCGCGCAATTCGCAATTGCCAAAGAGTGCGCTCGGCGTTCTTAGATCATCGAAAAAAGTCGGTCACGCTGAGCCTCATCTTGCATGAGGATGCGGATTCGTCTGGTTTGTTCCTTCACCATGTAGGCCTAGTAGACCGCCTTCAAGCATTCAGCGCCTGATAGCGCATGTGGACAGGGCAAGCGCGCTGACGCAAATCGACGCATTGTCGAATAGGAACAACTGGAAAGAACGACTGGATATTGCGAGGCGGAAGCAGAGGTTTGTGTTGCTGGACCTGCTCCAGAGCCTACCAAACGGCAGAGTTACCTGCGGGAGGTCCAGCTTATGTTCCTAGAACAGGCGACGTATCTTGCAGCCCTGGAGAATCCTGGAGACAAAGATGTGCGAAAAGACGCCAACCTTTTTACAAGTTCTGAGAAACCACACCGACACTCTTTCAGACGTGAAGTGTGTCAGAGAGCAACGTGCCAACCATGAACTATGGTAACCAAAATGAGATCTGGATTTCGATTTTAGAACGGTTCTCGTAAGGACCCAATTCTGCTCACCCGAAGGCATCGTTTCAGTCCCAAATGAGCTCTCCACATCGAGGCCCCACAGACAGTATGATTGGAGCAAGCATGTGCTGAACAGGCCAACATTTAACGTAGAAAGCGGCATTCTGTTCGCAATGTCGCATGGTCACCGTTGTGTGGTCCGAAAATGCAATAGGCGCCAACCCGGGAACCCCTCTGAAGGCTCATGCGAGTGTTTCGTGACGAGTGCGGCCTGGCTGTCGGCCTCTGCGTAGAAGAGAAGAAGCCCGCTCAAGCCAGGGTCCTCAGACTCAGATGTCTCAGATGTCCGCAGTCGCTTGAGGTGAGGATAGTGAAAGGAAGCAGGTCTTTGAATCGCCACTCCTTGGTTCCGTGAGGGACAGAACCACATGAGCTCGGAGAGCCGATTTGTTAACTTTGCCGATTTGTCTCTGAGGCGCGAAAAAAGCGCACCAGACCCGTCAGAGGCCCCTGCGACAGCACGCAATCTGTTTGGAGCCTGTAGGGACTCAGAAAGGAAACCCCGAACTGCTGAGGCCCGCGGGAGCGCGCTGGCGCCAGGTGTGGTGACGGTGGATGTGTACGAGTGTGTGTCGATGCGTTCTGTGTTGGCTTCAGTTTTTTCTTTGCATCCTTTGGCAGTGCAGGTCAAGTCGATCCGGCAGGCGTTCATGAACTTGGTTGTCACTTCTTCGAGTTGCAATCGTCTCCTCATCTGACCTCGCGCAGATAGGTGATGCTGGGTGCAGTAAGGCAACTCCCTCCCGCCCTCAAGGATCACATCTCAGTCGAAAGCCGGCACTCCCACGCTTATTGATTTCCATTAATTATAGGTCAGGTCTCAAAGCAGCCTTGGGCCAAAGGTCCTGCAGTTTTCCTCGGACACTGACGCACTGGAAAAACAGCAGCCTCATGTGTCCAGCATGCGAGGCTGCACAAGCATGAGCCACGCGAACTTGCCCAATGCCCTTTTCTTGGTTTCGGCTCAAACTTGCCGATTACCGCCTGTCTGCAAGGCAGGGCTGACTTCAGTGAGTGCAGCCAGAGTACAGCGTGCACCAGTGTGCAGCGGGTGCAGGCACGGCTCCGTGGACCTCGGCCGCCCGGGCCCCGCCATTCGGGCTCCAGCCCGTCGGCCCGTCGAGAGAGCATTGAGTCTTCGAGCAAAGAGCATGCCGGCGTGAAGGTCTGGTCCAAGGTCGAATGTTATTGGACCATGTCTGCGGGGATAGTGGGAGCTTCTGCCGTGACGCCGAGGCGCCGTCGCCGTGGTTGGCGATGTCCTTCTTCTGGCAGCTGCCACTTGGCCCAAAACCGCAGCCCGTCGCTCGGCGTTCCCACTTGGCCCCGAATTCCTAGGCCGGAGCAGGATGCTGTTGCTGCAGACCTGCCGGATCCTGGGGCCGACGATGAGGAAAGAGTCTGTGAGCCGAATTGAGCCAAATCAATGCCTTTCACTTCCGCTTGATTCCGTGTGAGCGCCATGAGCTCTCACACAAAGTTGTTGGCCCTCCAGCCACTTTGCAAAGCCCCAGGAGAAACGTGTTAAAGAAGCTGCCTTGAAGAGGCCGGAGTCGCAATGCATCACATCAGTGCAGTTCGGCGTCCGTTTGGGCCATAATTATGCAAGTTTTCAAACTTTTCATCAGCTGCAAATAGCTGCAGCAAACAGTTTCGCCATACTCATAATGTTGCAGCGTGGCCACCGGCTGAAGGCACGCTGCATGCCATGTGCTTCTTTCAGCCTTTACAATAGCCCTTCCATTAACACACCAGTCGGTCAGTGCATCGTCATCTCATCTCGAACATGTACAAATCTGTCGACCCTGCTTCGACATTGGAAGGCCTGGCATGCTGACCCTCGTGAACGAGGACTACCCAATTCACTGCTCTTGCATCCTGTTGCGACTGCGCAGTTTTTCTGATTTGAGTTGCAAGAGCAAGGCCATGCGAGGACTGACGGTCCGAAAGATTTGATGCGAACACGGATGTCGAGTGCCTCATGGGTGGGTCGGGCAGGGGAAGCACCCAGAGATGCATGAATGCGTGGCATGGTGCAAGCAAGTACTCACGCCGTGCCACAGGCTTGGGAGTCATGCTCACCTCATTCCAAACCCGCTCAGTTTGTTGATGTTTATTGCGAATGGATGCTAAGGATATCGGGAAGCTATCTTGTTGTTGGGAGTCGGACCTAGAAACCACTTTGCCGGAGGCCGAACAGCATTGGAATGTGGTCTTAGTCAAGAGTCAACATGTCAAACCGCCTTCAAGCAAACTTAAGGTAAGCATAGGAGGTGAAGGTTCGTGACAAAGGAAGGCACGACATACAGAAAGACCGGAGTGGGAAGGCCGAGAAGGAAACAATGATGCTATGAGAAGGAATGGCGGAAAGAACGAACAGCTGGCGAAAGGTCATGCCCAATTCTATTCTTCACTCTGGATATTTCGAAGCTCTGTTCTTGACGAGGGTTGTAAAATGCAGTTTCACCCGCTTTTCTTACTCCCTCTCTCTCTGCCTGCCTCTCCTACTCACTCACCATAACTGCAGCACAGGAAGAGAAACCTCTCGAGAATGCTGTCCAGTCTGTGCCTTACGCATTTCGTGGCCCGTTGTTGTTGCGATTGCGGCAATCTGCACTTCCAACTCCGCTGGACTCAGTTGTTCTACTTCGCACCACAGTTGCCACTTTGGCTGTAGCTCGGGTTCTGCAAGTCGCACGACATAAGGTGGCCGCCAGTGAAGCCTCTTCCACCCGTGGGGCACCAACATACTTGTACTGCCGGCAGCTGGAAATATCTGGAAAGCAAGCTGTGTTGGCTTCAACGTTTTCCGAGGCAGAGTCAGACCGCGGTGATCTCAGTGTGCCAGTTGCACTCGCAGGACCTGATCGAAAGTATTCGAAAGTCATGTCGATTGCTGACAAGGAATCTGTGATGCCGAGGCCGCAGCCGAGGTGGACGTGACAGACGGAGGAGTGGAGAAATGAGAAACCTGTGAAGACATGTGAAATGTGAAGACCATCCAAGCGCTGTGCTGTGCAGGCGTGGCGCCTCGGAGAAGGTCGCAGAGACCTACGCCCAGGACATGTGACATGTCTGGTGCTTTGCAAAGGATGAGCAGCTAGCAGTAGTAGCTAGGACTTCCGGGGCTATGGCAATCATGGTCATGGCGATGACAAGCTGAGAAAGCGAGACTACGGGTGGCAGCCTCTGGCCTCAATATCTCCCCGACACGAAAGTGGGGATGGCAGTCACAAGAGTCACCGGAATCTGTCGGATGAGGGAATCTTCAGTGATTTTCGAGTTTGTTGTGTTCTCACGACTTCAATAGGGTTCTGAAATGGTTGGCTGGTGTAGTTTTAGCGCACCCACAGTTTTGATACGTAGTTGAATGCAACTGGGTTGTGAGATGCCAGTTTGTGTGGTGTGTGAATTCGGCAAATACGCATCAACAAATTAGGTCAGAAATCGTTTTTCAGGCATGCAGCCGCATCACATTGATTCTTCGACAGATGTGTATTGAAATGGTGTCAGATAATCGTGTGTTAAACCAGGCAAACCACAAAGAACAGCAGCCATGTCAAGTTTGTTTGTCATAATGCCAGAGCCTCAGTTTTTAAACTCGAGAGTGCATCCATCATCAGGACACACCTAAGAATTACATCAGAATCTAGTGTCGTGTAGACTATTGTGGGGGTGGGTCCGGGGTGCCTGCAGCAGTTTTCGATGTGGATTCCACGTGACATCTGATATCGGTACTGCAGTGAGGAAGCACATTGTCTGCAGACAAGTCGCTGTTGCTGTGCTCAGCTGGCCGTTAGCAGAACGTGGCCCACGCCTGGAACTCAGCGTCTGCCCTGGCCCGCACTTTTCAATGCGACACGTGGCTCAGGCCGACGCCCTGACATGATGATGGGCAAGGGCCGGATGAGCACTTCGTATGGCATTGATAATGAGGTATGGCGGCGACATTTAGTTTCACGACTGATAGGCCTTCTTAATTATCCCAAGCTAGGGCTCTCTGCTCCAAGCTAAGGCAAGGGGGGCTACAAAGGACATGCACGAGTCGGGGCAGGGCACTGCCTCACAGCTTTGGTGATTCAACCGCGCGGTGCAGGAGATGAGAAGGGTGGCAACGGAAAGAATGGCTATGGCATGGGCAAGGGCGGCTTTTACAAAGGCTTCCGCTGTGTGTAATCGTACGGTCTGACGCTGTTGACACTGGTTCGTGACATAGCGAATGCTGCGAGGCTACGAGAAGTTTGACAAGCCGGAGCGTCGCTGCACTGCCATGTTTGATGATGCCTGGCTACGCTGGGCATTTGCGAATGAAAGAAGTTCAGCATGGTCGGCACTTTGCAGCTTGCTGTGACCATTGCTGCTTGCCCTCAGCCCCGAGCAAAACTCACGAAGGTTAGTTGGCTCTGCGGAGGTTGGGAGTTGTCGTGCACGATTTCACCCTAAAGTCCCTAGAGACCCCAGTGAAGCCACCGGGTCAAAACGCATGCGGATCCTTATCTGGTCATTTAGCAACAGCAAAGGTGGGAGAGAGGCCCTCCCCCATGCCAGAAGTCGGACAAGGTAGATAAGGTGGCGACTGACGAGCAGAGTGACTTTTAATATAGCTTTTTTAGGCACGCATCTGCCGAACCATTGCGCTTGCTGACAAGTTACGGTTTAGTGCAGTGAGCCATAGTCGAGCCGGCACATGCCAACCAGCTTTCTGATTCTCTGTCTAGGCTAGTGGCTAGTGAAATTCGTAACAACTTTCTGCGTTGAGCAAGGGCACGGGGTGCCTCGATTACTCTATCACGGACAATATGTCCCTGACCCACTAGCACCGGCAGAAAGCTGGGTGGCATCTGCCGGCCCGAAGATGCCAATACATCAAGGGATTTGCTCACTTGTACATAATTCAGCCAAGCTTCCGCCGCGCTCGAGCGATTCGCAGTGCTGCGATGCAATAGATTCTCTCGACGAATGGCCCCACCTTTCCCTGTCACACTTCCCTCTGACTGGTTGGCCCATCTCCCGCTTTGCAAGCATGTGCAAGCTTTCAGACCTCCTATCAACACTCAGATGACAGGCCGTGGCGGACGAGGCATGGCGAATGCAGGGCAGAGACGTCGGAATGATCTGTTTGGTTACATTACAGGGTTGTACTGCGTAGACAGCACCCAAGCCGAAAGAAAAGATGCCGAGCTTTTGTCGCCTGCAATCTCATTCCTCGCCGGTACGACTGTGAGGTACGAGGCCCTGGGAGGAGCTGCCGCCCCGGCCTCCTCGAGTGGAGGCGCGCGGTCCCATGCGGTCCCCAAAAGAGAGAGTCTGAGCATGCCTCTCCATGCCTTCCAGGAGACCTTCGAGGCGAAGGAGCGGCAGAAGAAGGAAGAGCAAGAGCAGCAGACGCGAGTGGCGCACTCAGGTCACAGATTCTCAGAGCATGTTCTATTCTGATCTGATCCTGTGCTTTTGCTGAGACATCTCTCCGCATGGCTACCTCCGCAGAGGAGCTGGAGAAGGCTATAGCCTCGGCCAAGGACGAAGATGCGAACTCGAAATCCGCATCGTGGAGTCGGAGAACGTCGGATCGACTTTTCGGAACTCCTTGGTAGATCTTGGTAGGAGCTGGGCCTCACCCTTGAAGCCAGCCTTGGAGAGCCCGGGCCCCAACCTCGCTTGGCTTTGAGATCTGGCTTCTTCTGCCGAAAGGAAGAAGCTTCAGAAGCTGCAAGGCTGAGTGAGGGACTCAGCTGGGCGGTCGTCTCTTGCCGCATGGCATCTGCTGCCGGGCCCTGAGAGGTATCATCCGCTTCGAGGAGCCAACGAATCCAGGATGCTGGAACTGTAGTTAGGTGTTGATGCCATGGGAGGAGTCGCGGAGGGCACCCGACGTATCGTAAGAGGGTGGCCATAGCCATGTCCTTGACACTCTAGGAAGTGGAAGTTTTTGGAGTCGAGTGCTTCTCACTCTCACATGGCCGTCACAATAGCAAAAAAGCCTTCTCTACATCAGCTCAAGGGGCTCTGCTGTTTCGCCCAGAAGATGAAGATTCGCAAGTGCTCTCACGTGGCAGAGCATGCGGGCAGCCCCTTGAGCTTGCAATCGCCCGGAGTTTCAATGGCGAAGCAAAAGGGCGGCCATATGCGGGGTTTTCCGAGACCTTGAACATCTCCAGTGAAGTGACATGTTGTCGCCGACGCATGACTTTCTGAATTTTGGCTCATTGTGGCGCCAGCCAAGTTAAGATCATGTCATCCAGTGCAGCCAGTCAGCTGCTGCAATATGAAGATGCGAAAGTATCGCTTATCTGGAGGCACTTTCTCATCTGTGTTTGCCCCAGCTGTCCAGGTGCACCAAACTTTTCAAGAAAAATGTAGTAAGAGCATATTGTTAGGGTTGAACTGCAGCATTTCTCATGCCGTCTTTCTCGCCTTCACGTCGACGAAGGCCAAGTCAGCATTTCTTTTTGCATGTCATGGGCTGCAAACATTGGCAACGACCCCAGTCAGGAGGTTCGAACGGGCTTTGGGCATCTTTGGGTGATGGGTGTTGGGCAAATCCGCAATTTGATCTCCTGCAGGGGTCCTACTCTGTCAAGCCAGTCCGATGATATGTGTCTTGTGGTCAGCATCTCCTCACAAGATCGCCTACACAGGCCCCAAACTCTGCCCTCAAAGGGGTAGCATCATCAGCTGGGCTGGGATACAGAAGGGATTATATCATGGGTTCGATTCTGGATGGACTTGTTCTTGGCGGTGCGGAGGCATTCCGTTTTTTTTGGGTGGTTTTGCACAAACCCAGGCAACACACACTATTGAACTCTCAGTATTTTGGGTTCCTCCGTTGCATCTTTCCGGAAAGAAGCTCATGAGTGCTTGTGCCTGCAGGCCATCTGATTCACGGCGAAGGAGGCCCTGTGTGGGCCAAGGGTAAGAGGAAAGGAAAGTGGGAAGTGACAAGCTATCCGTGCATTGAGGGTCGCGCAGGCTGCATGCGAGAAGTTGCAGGAGAACGCATTGTAGAATATTGCGCATAAAGTTTGATCCACGAGTGAAACGGAGAACGGAGGTCACGCTCCGTACGGCGCTTGGCCCTTACACATCCTTACACAGGGAGCCCCGTGCGCCGTCTAACGACTTGTAGTCATTCATCTCGGTTTGTTCAGAGGAAGCATCTGCAGAGTCTGCTGAAATGCGCACATGTAGACAGACAGACTGACGGACCCGCAGACACGGATGCTACTGTGGATGGAGGAAATTTTGCAGTTTGGACAGACAAGCGAGAGTACCGCACGCTCCTTGTTTATTATTGATGTCCAGTCCTGGGAAGGGCCGTGGGTTCCACTGGCAGAAATCTTACACCAGCCATATTATGGCATACTATCGTCAATATTAAGCAGGGTGGTGCACGGTCCAAGATTTCGTCCCAGAAATGAGAGGACCGCTGTTATGGCAACAGTTCTGAGGAGTTTGGCCAAATGTCTAGTGGCTCGTGCGGCTCTGGATGAACATGGCTCATATTGTTTTTCCTATGTTTGCACAGTTAACACTCAGTTAACTTCAGTTAAACACTACATTTAACACTGCTCTTAACACTGCCGAAATGCGGCAAACAACAATATTACTTCCACTCCCAACAACCAGAGCAATCAAATTAGGGTTGTTCCTTCTTCAGTTTATAGACAGTATATTTTCTGCACACAATGCCGTTTTGCAGCAGCATGTTGGCAGAGTTAACGTGAGTGCTAACGGGCAGACAAAACACAACATCTCATTCTACCTGCTTATTCCAAATTGCAGATCGAGCCTGGTCGCCGTGAGCATATGGAAAGCTTTCCAGAGGTCTTTTTCAACAGCCTTTGCAAGCGCACCGCTCCAAAAGTATGTCCATTCCTCGAAGCTTGTCCATATCTCGATTTGACGATGCTGACGGGCACTGTGGATGGAGGAAATGTTGTACCAGTGTGAAGAGACCAGCGAGAGTACTGCGCTGCTTGTTTAATATTGATGTCCAGTCCTGCCGTAGGTTCCACTGGCAGAAGTCTTGCACCAGCTATGTGGCATACTATCGTCAATATTAAGCAGGGGGTGCGGGGTCCTGGCGATGGACGGTGCCATGAGCCAGCATATGGGTGGTGCAAGATTGCCTCCATCCACCGTAACAGCGGCTAGCAGGCTAGCGGACAGACAATGGCAAGTCGAGCTCGAGACTTCGCCAAATTCGCAAGAGCGGACGGAAGGAGTCTGCCGAGCTTCGAAACTTCGAGCACAGCGAGACTTCTCATGGGTTTCCAAGCAGGCCGACGTCCGCCACCTTCTCAGAATCAACTCGCCACTCACAGAGGTCACCGCGACAGCCGTTCTCCGCCTCCGCGGCGCTCAGCGTCGCGCCAAAGGCCAGCTGGGGTTTGCACAGCCTCGTTTGCAGGGAGGCATGCGGAAATTGCCCGGGAGGTCTTCCAGACGTCGTTGGTGATTTCAGTTGTACGCGCATGATGACAGAATCATGGCAGGTCATGGAATACTTGCTACACAGTCAAGACAGCACACAGTCCGCGTGAACACGCCGCACTCGTAGAATCGGTGCCTCTCCATTTCGGCAGGTCGCCGCAAGCACGGGCAGCCTCTCCGTCGAGGTGACATCAGTAGTAAGAGATGTGTCGCAACATGTCTCAACATCACTCCTTCCATGTACTCCTCCTTGACAGGTCTCGCAGTGCAGAGGATCGAAAGACGCGTCCGGTCATCACACCTGGGCCTTGCTCACAGACCATCGACAGGGAGTAGTTTTCCGACAGAATCCCTCAGACGGTTGGAGAGAGGTGACTTAAAGATGTGCGCAGGAGACATCATCGTAGTACTTGGTAGCAATGGTTTCGGCCTGCTTCTTTCTCTGATTTTTATCAAAATGTACATAGTGACATTGTCCTTGACACAGACATGTGCAGCCACCTGGGCTCTTTCAGATAGATTGCGTAAGCAAGACGGCGTCGAATCCCTCGCCTTCAAATCTGTTCATCGGCTTGCAAGAACTTTTGCACAGGGGCGGCATCGAGTCCGTGGAGGCCAAGGTGGTGGATGCACGCACTCGACACAGCGGGGTCGGAGGGCCCGGAAAGAGATGCAAGTTGAGCAATGTCGAGCGTCCTGAGCGTTCCTGTGAAGAACAGACTGGCAGCTACCCAAAACTGTACAGATGAGCGCGCTAATTGACATGCTGGATGTTGAGTTCGTTGGTAACTGATGTCCGCATGCTAGCAGCTGGCAGTCACAACCCATCTCCGCTCGAGGAACCCACCTTCCAAGCGGAGGCCAGCTGGACGCACCTGCTAACGCTGTGCCCCAATCGCCCACTTGCTGCGAGCTTCCTGTTGTGGGCACGTCGCTTGAGAACGTCCAGCCTGGGCGGAAACCCAAAGATCGCACAAACCTTTCTCAACGATTCCGCCCAGATATGCTACTAGACGAAAATCCGGGTTGGTTCAGGTCTACCTGGGCCTTGACGCTGCGGCTGCAGGCCGGACTGCTTCGATCTGTTTTGGGTAGCCGGGTAGCCGGAACGGGCCTTCCAGGACAGAGGTGCCCGGTTGCTCCTTGCGCCATCTAGCGCCGAACAGACCCTGGAATGATTCGGGGCAGGCCGTCAAAGAACGATGTGCATCCGCAAGGGCCTCAAAAACGACGGCAGGGCGACGCACGCTAGAGAGCAGCAGAGGGCGTTAATGCCTCAAGTCTCAAGGCTTGGCATCAGCATTGCCGAGCCTTAGCTTCCATCTCGCAAAGGCGGTCCTTGCCGAGTCGACAGAGGCCAAGCACAGGAGGATGCAGACAAAATGGAGGCCAGGGCGGGGCATGCTGGAGGCATGCTGGAAGCCCTTCGCATCGACTCCTTGTCTGCAACTGTTGGGTGCAGCCTTAACCTGAATCAGGAAGCCGCCAAGGATGGCATTAAGGCAGTGCGGGAGATGGCGGCAAAGATGAAGAGGCATTTCTCCATGTCGGCAACATCCAGACGCAATTCAGTAGCAGATTAGTCGATGAGACATGACGAGACATGAAGCACAAAGCATCACAACGGTGTGGCGGCGATGTTCCTTAGGTCCCGCATCAGGACCATGCCTCCATCTTTGTGATCGGGCATGTTGGATCGGAATGTAGCATGGACCAAAGCCAAGTGATGAGGTGTTTGCTGTTTCACTCGGGTAGGTCTCGCATCTCGACAACACCAGCTTGAGCCATAAGAGGAAACGTTCATGTCTGGGAACAAGGACCGGAACAGTCGGCGGTTCCCGGGGCAACGAGCGCATTTCATGTGTTAAGCACCAGCAAGAGGCTGCACACGGGAACATGTAGAAGTGCTCAGTGCTAGATGAGTTAGAGGTGTTGTGGGTCAATGGACTTCGCTTGAGACCTTTCTTGCATTGCATTGGTTCGTGGATGAAGCAGGGTCACTTGACGAAGCCTCTGAGCTTGATGAACATGTCCCCAGGCCCTGCTGGGTACCTATGGCATGAAGGTTTGGAGTGCGGGCATGAAGCAGGCAGAGCAGTGGTGCAGGACGATGACGGAGACTTCAGTGTCATCCCGGAGAGCTGGCGAACGCTGAATCTGGCTGAAGTCGGACCGGACTCCGCTTGGGCCTGCATTAAACTGGAGGCATCGGCAGACTAGAGCATCTTCGATGCTTCCAAGCTTCACGGCTGCTGCAACATACAGTGACAACAGAAGCTAACGTCATCTGAGCAGAAAAGATTACGGCAAGGCAGCCTCTTGGTGCCTGTCTGCACTGTACAGTACGGAGGACCCAAGATGCCCAAGGTCATAGTCATAGAGCCATAGAAGACATTGCAAGCCAGCATCCGAATTCGCCTGCGCAGCCACAGAGCTCAGCAAAGGCTTCTGCGCACCTACAGCCGCTCATCTAGAACACGCAGAGTCTTTCGATGGGCATCCACTTCGTGCCTTTGCTAGGTAATTGCTGTCCCGCTGCTGTGCTGCAGGCTGCCAGAGTATGCCATAGTGTCCCGAGCAGCCGACACCTAGCAGCTACGGTCCATGGATGTCCACGGTGATTACCCGCGGCTGCCATTGTTGGGAGATTGCAGGAAACATGCAATGTGTAAGAACCATAGGAGAAGCGGAGACAAGTGCTTCCTCAGTTAGATACATGTAGCCCACCGCTGAAGCTGTCTTCCGCATCCATGTAGGAAGAGTCGTGTAGAGTAGATGTGCTGAACCATGCCAAAACTATGCTCATTAATCAGATGGCCCACGACGCAAAGTTATCATTTTGGTGGACTGTTGGTAGCTCCCGGAGCCTTCATGGACGCGGAGAGTTACTTGGACGAGGCTCGGGCAAATGGATCTTAGAGGCAGAGGCGGAGAAGCATGCATGCTCTATAGTTTGCATGGGTAAAGGTCATGCGCGCAGTTTTGGGAAGTCCGATTTTGTCGCATTCGATCTGTGCATTTTACATTCCCAGGCGTTGATTCATGTAGTCTTTCTCCATCACAAGTTTGGCGCAGGCCTGGCAGTTGTGCAGAAAGGAGCTGGACGATGTGGAGGCCTTTGAGAGCGGTGACAACTTGGGGATCATTCATGCATTCCGCCTCTGGAAGTGCTTGTCGCTCGAAACATCCTCGGTATTCAACAATTCGCACTGTCAGGAAGTGGTTGACTTGCGCGACTGTTCGTGCCTTGGGGGGTTCATGTCGTTTTATGCCACTGCCCCTCGACAGCTGATGCTCTATTGCTCTCCTAGGTTCTCTGTCCTATGCAATAGATCCGAAAGAACATAAGCAAGAACGAGCGCATGTATCAGCGGCCTCTGCCGGCGAAGTACTCTCAGATGAAATTATTTGATAGCCTTGTGCGGAGCGGTGTGCAGTGATCTCCATTGCTGGATGCGGACCTTCAGACTTCAGGTGAGTCCTCGGCACACTTCCGGGAAGGTCGTGGCTATTCCAACACGACCTGTCAAACGTCCAGAGCTCGCTTGCAAGCCGTGAAAATGGCAGGCTAGGCACGTGTTATTGAAGGCCGAGAATGCTCCATACTTTCGTATGTCTTGAGGCTCGACATCCTCGGCCCTGAATGCAGCGAGAGCTCTGTGAGCTCTGCCCCAAGGGAATCGCTGCGCGTTTTTCCAGTCATGTTGAGAGGGAGCTCTTGATACCATTGTTTTGCAACCCACCTTGAGGTAGTCCTCAGAATCTAGACGTCATAGACGGCCTGGACCTGGATAGCACGGCACTGATGGACTTGGTGCCCGTGAGTATTACATTCCGACCGCCCGGCGACTTATCTGCAGGTGTTCTTCGGGCCCTCGTTTCCGCAGAGGACCGCTGTTGCAGCGAAGCTTCTCATGTAGGGGTGGGGGCTTCATCAACACAAGCGCAAGGAAACACTACCGAAAAAGCAACGGCAAGCCAACCCATCATTCGGGGCATTTAACAAACTGTGCAGTTTGACCAAAGATCCTTGTCTCTTTTTCAGGCATCCGCAGTTGCTCTCCTGTACATCTGTACTCGTCCATACTGGTCCATCCTGCGGCTTTCTGCTGGCAGGACTCAGAAAACTCCGAGGTGGGCGAGCCGCTGTAGTCTACAGACTCTTCCGAAACTGACAGAGACTCGGGAGATCTTGCATTGTAAGAGACCAGCTGAAAGAGCACGAACACAATCGAAAGCCGAGCGGTGTCTCACACGCTAGAACTTGACACTCGCCTGACTGTGCTCGACTTGGCCTGCCACAACTACATGCGCAGGTTCCGACGTGTTTCCGGTGTATGCCATAGCTAAAACAGGCTTGGATGTGTGGAGTCTTTTGACCTGATCTCTTCGGAAATGCGAGATTCCCGGTGGTCAGACTCCTTGGAAGCTTGGAAAAAGATCCCCGGTATCCTAGCCTAGCACCATTATCAACAGGCTTCAGGCTGTTTAGCCACACTTCCAATTGGCGTTTGATTGCCTCTTGATATTGTACATCACCTAAAGTTGGCGGATGGGGAAGAGAAGCCGCCCCTTGTTGGAGGAGCAGCCGGAGCCCCTAAATCCGCATGTTGGGGCTAAGTTTCCTCCAGTTAAAGTCAAAGATCGGTCTGGAGGCTGGTGGCCTCTCCGCACTGCTTGCGAACACCGTCTACATCGACGCGTGCGCGTTGCCGCTGTTGAAGTCGGGCTGTGACAGGCTGCGGTCCTGTGTCAGGTACAGAGATGATGCGTGCAGCGAGAGCGACAGCACCGTCCCATCTGAAGAGGCACTCGAACCAAAAGCCTACAACGTGCGCTGCTTCGCGGCAAGCCAAGTTCAGTGCCGATGGCAGGACGCTGCTCTGCTTCCGCCAACAGCGGTAGCGCCCAGGGTCGCTGGTTTTGCCTTGTGGATTCCTGTGGCAGCCACATGCACTCACATTGGGCTTGACACTTTCTGCACTCCTCGACAGAATAGGCGCATCCTGCTAACATCCTCGCAGGTTCAGATAGATTCTCTCCGGCAGCCACAGCAGCTGCAGCCTAGCCTTTCCAGCGTGGATTGGCCAGAGCACCTTCGGATGCAGAGCTGCCCTAATTAGCCACTCACGGCCACATCCTGATGATTTGCGCTTGCACCTGTTCCTTCAAGGGCTGATCTTGGGCTTGTGCTGGTCTGTCTTTTCCAAGTAAGAGGGCGTTTGCATCATCCACTTTGTATGGTCACTGTGGCTGGAAATAGCTGCTACGTAGTAAGCGTATGGCATCCCCTGACAAGCTTAGGAATTGAGATGATCGCCAGTGTCATTCGCAAAGAGTGTTCTTCAAGCTTTTCTACGAGTCTGGAGTTGACCGGTGAGTCCCTACTGTGCAAGGCTCGTTCAGAGCCATCGCAGTTCTGCCTGCAGTGGGTACAGTGCAGGGGCAGGAGACTCGGTATGCTTTTCTCAGAACTCTTGTGACAGCTGTTCTCTACTGTACGCACCTGTGACCAGTGTGGCCAATGTGCTTGCGAGTTGCGAGTTGAACGCAGGCGTCGGGTGAATCGCCGGCTAGCACCTCACGGGATCGGCCGCAGCCCTACAAGCACATCTCTGCTGTGTTGTGTTTTCGGGCTCGCCCAACAGAACTCCGGCAATCAGTCAGACTCGGCATCGACAACGCTTGAACAAGGGGGACCCATTTTTTTGTTTTTGCTCTTTCTTTGCATCTGGTTTTTGGTGGTGGTGGTGGTGGGGCGGGGTTCTCTGTATTTCCATAAGAAAATCTCTATTTTCGCTGGGTTTTTAACCAGGCAAGAATTTCTATTTTCCTCTGATTTTCTTTGTGTTTTGGCACGAAGCCTCTATTTTCTCTATGTTCTCAAAGGAAAACGTATATGTTCTCTTGATTGTCATGGAAATTGAAGGGAGGAAGGCAGGGACAGAACGGAAGAAAGAAGGAAATAATGGGACAACTGAAATGATCAAACGAAGAAATAAGGAAAGAGGGAAAGACACAACGCAAGAAAGAAATAGCCACATGAAATAATACAAGAAAGAAAGAATGAACGAAATAGATAAAAGAAAAGTGTTCGGAGGGCAAGCTTGCACGGCTTGCTTCAACGCATACGAGTCTTTTTAAAACCCATCATGCGAGAATTGTGTTTGCAAATGGGGAACTCCGCTCCCCATGCAAGCTTGCTTGGAAGCATGTGTATCATGCGAGCATTCTGTTTGCAAATGGGGGCTGCCCTCCCAACCCCCCAACGATAACCGGAGTCGCGAAATGAGGCGGTGTGTTTAAGATATATCAGCCGGAAACGCCAAACGATAAGCTTGTAGCTATATGATGAACCGGAATCGCACAATGATGGGGCGTGCTTAAGATGTTTGAACCGGACACGCCAAATGAGAAGGCATGTTGTCGATATATAAGGCACCGGAATCGCCTATGAGGGGGGCGTGTTTAAGATATAGGATGAGCCGGAATCGCCAAACGAGGGGCGTGGTTAAGGCATATGATGCATCGGCAGATGAGGGGGCCTGTTTAAGATATATGATGAATCCGAATCACGAAATGAGGGGGCGTGTTGAAGATATATGATGAACCGGAGCCGCCACATGAACCGGAGTCGACAATGAGGGGGCGTTTTTAAGACGTATGATGAACCGGAATCGCCAAATGAGGGGCGTGTTTGAGATATATGATGAATCCAGAGTCGCCAAATGAAAGGCCGTGTTTAAGATATCCGATGAGTCCGAGGAGGTTTGAATCTTCAAGCCTGAACCCTAAAGTTGAATCCGGTAAGATGAGGTTTAAAGCTTACAGGCTGAACCCTAAAGTTGAATCCGGTGGCCAAGTGACCCCGACATCTGGTTGCTAAGTGACCCAAAACGGTGCGGACTCGGCTAAGTGACCCCGGGTTGTCGTGGCTACAGTAAGTGACCCCGGCACCGAAAATAGAGGCTTTTGATATTAAAATGTAGAGAAATAGAGATGTTCCTGTGAAAACATAGCCAAACTAGATGTTGACCATGGAAATATAGAAGACCCCCCCCCCACCCCACCACCAAAAAAAAAAGGCCCCCCTCCAAAAAGAAGGACCGACAACAAATCTCCACCCTGGAAAATGTGTCTGATGAGAGGAGGTTTCCGGTGCGGAAGCTGCGGCCTGGGCACACTGAAGAGCAGCAACATGTCAGCTGGTTTGGAGCCGGACCGTGTCCGGTGTGACTGGTTGTAATTACTGTACTCGTACCTAGGACAGGCAGTCGCTGGCCATGCGCATTGTGGAGTAAGTAGCTGAAGTGCCACCTGAACCAATTCGGCGGGTTTCTGGGAGATCGTTGATCCAAAAGGCTTTCATGACTGAGAGTCTTCGGTTTGAGTCTGCGATGCAATGCAAATGCAGTTGCAAGCCACAGTGTGTGATTGTGTGTACGCATGGATCTGCTTGTTTGAGGCCCGACCACACTTCCCTGCAGGCCCTGAGTCTTGCATTTGACATGCTGATGTTGTGGTAGAGGCATGGCGACCTCAGCAACACTCCGAAACGAGCCATGTTGATATTGATGTCATTTGAGATCCGCATTGGAGTCCGGGACCGTGTCTTCGAAGTGCTGTGTTCCCGCTTCCTAAGTGCTTTCAGGCATGTTGTGAGACATGGCAAGTCGGAGTTGTCACGCGATTCAGTTGCTGTGAAAACGCAGGAGTGTTCCAGTTGGCCAGCTTTCTAGGTCTTGTAGACAGCCGCAGGGGACTAAGCATGAGAAAGTCGCCGAGTTTGCTCGGAAGCAAAAGCATGGTAGGGCACCAGGAGATACCACGAGATGGTGCTCCGAGGGCCGTACCAAAATCCAAACCTTCTTTACACGCACAGTGCGACGCTCATGTAGACTTACTTAGTTGAATTCATCAAGCAAACAGCGGGAGGGGGTCTCCTAATCATCGCCAATCCATGTGGCTTTCAATTCTTTTCCTCGACGGTCGGGTGGCGTTCCCCTGCCCAAGTGCTTTTTTCCATTACCTTGGCGTATATAACAGGATATAACAGGCAACGCTAGCTTTTCCCTGTACTTAACGATCCCATGCACCACCAATGCATATGCCAAGTCCGAACAGGCTGGAAGTCTGGAGGCTTCCATCCAGGAGCACCGGAGAGACTGAAGCCAGGGCCAGGCTGACGAACTAAAACGAGAAAAAACATAATATCAGTGACACCATCTCTGCTGGATACTGCCGGCTGCGGGGGGGTTCCATTGCTCTCAGGAGCTGTTTGATGCACAGTCGGTGGAAAGCGCAAGCGCGCCAAACAGCAGCGACCTCGGCCCGTCAACTGTCAAAGCCGCACGCAGCACTGGCAGGCGCGACTCTTGTAGCCGTAGAAGTCTGCTCAGGTGCCCGATCTGAGACTGTCAGCATGGCTCGAGGGTTCGATGCAGCAGAGGCTCTGAGGGCCAGTTGCCCATGCCTACACGGGCCAGGAAGACGCAACCATACGCCAGGAGACATTGTCTGTCGTGGACATTGCCGATGAGCTACCGGTATCTCCCCGGAGTGCCACGTCCTCGGGGCATGGTCAATTGCAGCTTCGGTGAACTATGTAGCTGATGGTCGGTGTTGGACAACCTAAGTAGCACATTCTCTCATGTCGTGAAGGCACGTTGAGTCTTTGGTGGGCCGTTTGGACGCGCGAACTACAGATTTGGCATGCAGGACTTGTACATTTATGATTTATGATTTATACCTGTGGTTCAATCAATCACATGGTTGTTTGTGACGAGCCCCCGCGTGGTAACCGTGTCGAGGCAGGCAAGTTCACACCCGCACAATTCACAATCCAGAAACCAGCCGAATGAATCTGCTGGCGCCCTTGTACTGACGCTTCTTGGGTTTGCAGACACAGAAGCGTGTCTGAGCATGATACTCTCGCTACGCGTGCCCGGTTCCGAGATGTAATTGCCAACTGGCCCCTGCTGTGTTTCAGGCTCGTGCGGGAAGGAGGTCTGAGGATGGGTTAGAGACCGTTCCGGCGTGCGGTGACAGCTGGGGAGTTGGTCCTGCTGGGATTCCTCTGCCGTGCCCCGTCCCGGCCTCTCTGGAAGGCACTGGAGTTCTGGGGCCTCCGTACTTGACATCAGGTTTGAGGCCCCATGCGCGGCATCGCCGAAGACTGTCCTGCCGATGTGTTGGTGCCAAGGACGATGGGCAGTCGATGCACATTGTCTGCCGCTGCCCGAGCTCTTCACAGCAATTGGCATCGGTAAGACTGTCAGCAAGCAGCAGGTTCCCCAAAGTCCGAAAGTCAGCCTCGAAGCCTGACGTCCGAAGCCTTTAGTTGCACGTGTTGCACGACATGACTGAATACGGAGCAGCGCTGGGCTTGTGATTAGTCGCGGTCTGGAGCGGCTAGAATCCAACGTAGCCCAGGTTTCCACCCTGCCGGTGACTGTAGCTGTGCCAGGGATAAGGTGAACAACTGGCGGATTTCAATGCGTAGGTCGTGGAATCTGCTACTAGCGCTTCAAAACGAAGGCACGTTGATTTGTTCGTTCTCTGTCTCGGGCTGTGCAAGGGGCTTGAGGTCAAGTTCTGGAAACGATGCGTAACATGTTTCAGCATGTTTCAGCATCATGAGCCCGGCCCCCCAGCATCTCGCTAAGATGGGGCGAGTGTGGCCGTCAGCCCACGCTCTTTCACGAGCCCCAGGAGAGAAGTTGTGAGCTGAAGCCGGTTACACTCGAGAAGCGTGTGGTGCAGGATCGAGAACATGGGCTCGCTATTGCAAAGGCCCGAAGTCGCTTCTCTTGAAACAGCAGATGTGTTTCGGCTTGCCCATGCTTGCCCTGTAGGTGGGCGTTGGAGCACCAGTTGGACGAGAATGTCGCCAGTGACGACCTGAAGCTTGTAGATGCGGGGAATGTTTTCTGTTCGCTCACGGCGCCCTCGTAGCCGCCATAGCCGTCTTGTCTGTCGATCAAAGTCTTCACAGATTCAGGGAACCTGTCACGAAGGCTGGCTCTTCCGAAGTATGCAAGACTGACGTTCATCAAGCTTTCACTCAGACTGCAAGCACTTTCAGGGTCTTTCTGATAAGCAAGTCGTTGACGGCATCCACTCCCTGCCTCCTTGCGGCCTGATTTTCCACCCACTCCTGCATCTGGAATGTACCCGACTTGGGGCAAAGGCGCGGGGCGAGGGGTGGAGGTCACCCCGCATATTAACCCGCTTTTTGACATGAAACCCATGCGTTGAGAATACATAGATAAGGCAAGGTAGGGCAAGCAGGTGAGACATGTGCTTTGCCATTTAGATTTTTTTTGCATGGTTTTCGGTGCATACCGCTCGGGCACAACAAGGACATGCTACAGAATGTGCAGGGTTCGGAGATGCAGCTGGATTGATCCTGGCAGTTGCAACGATCCAATGAGCCAGCAATTTTTCTGGCTCCCTCATTCATCTCATTCCTTCTAGCTTCCGTAGCCGCCTCGCATGTTTCGAGTTTCCTTGTCCCCAGCAAGTGAAATCTCAGTCAAGTCTGTTTGGAGAGGCTGGGCTTGCCTCCCAATCCATGGTCGTACCCACAACCCTGCCGCTCTGAGTCTGACACATGGAATACAGGTCCTCAATGTCTTGATTTGTGTTGGTTTCGGCTTGGTGTGTTTAGAGAGGCTCGGCCCTGAAGGTTTTTCAAGTGCAAAAAGCCTGCCAATCCATTTCTGCAATTTCAAGCCTTGTCTGGCAGTCTCGCTAGGTCCTGCCAGTACCTTCCCCTCGTCCTGCCTTTTTGGGCGCGCTTACTGGATGATTTCCTGTTTTTCCGCTACCTCGACGTGAGTGGAGTGTCCCTCCCAACTATATCCATGACTATCCCTAGAGTGCCCATGCCCAGATTAGTCGCTACATTGGGACCCCAGCAGAGCTGTTCGGTGAGCTGCAGCGACTGGAGTTCAAAGTAGTGTGACACTGCAGGCAGCATTCGGCGGGTCCTGGAGATTCCAGATCTCATACCCGTCGAAACCTTGGATTTGCCGGCCCTTCATAACAGCCTTGTGCAGTGCAAGATCTGACATGCGTGCTTCTGGAGGATGTCGCCTGTCTAACTGAAGAGGAGGTCTACGCCCTTCCGAAGGCCGGATGGCATTTGAAAAAGTTTGCCTTACGTCACAGAGAAGCATCGAGCAAGCTTGGGAAGCCCGGTGGGCTTTGGGTCGACTCTTGTGCAACTTCTGCAAGGTGCGTTTCACTGCCAAAGACACGCAGCAGTGCTCCATATGCTTAGAAGCCTTTGAGGACTGCAGTTTTGGTTGGGCGTCGATGGGCGTGGAGCCGATACTCAAATGCTCGATTTGCTGAAAACTCACAGGAGGGCGAGCTTCTCACTGCACTGCCCTGCGGGCATTTCTTTCATGTGGAGCTGGAGCCTCTTGCGGAAGTGCGGAACGGCACCGGCAGACACCAGCAGACACTTGCGGCCCTGGCCCTGGCCTTCTCAGGTGCGTGGCAGGGTGGATGTCGGATCCTGAGTGCTTGAGTCTGCCACGCTGCCCGCTGCCAGCTGCCCGCTGCCCGCCGCTGCCCCTTTGCATCCCTTTGCCCTTTCAAGATCTCCCGAGGCAACGAGCAACCATCTGCCCTCTTTGTCGAGCAAGCTGCGCCGACTGAGTCTCCCTTGTAAAAGAGCGCAGTTTCAGGCTCCGAATCGTTGCCACAGGCATCGGGCGGCTCCCTGTCGCTCGCGTTCATACTCTCCATCCGTTCAGGTATGCACTGGGCCAGTCGATATGGTTACAACAGTTCAGGAACAAATATCCGAGTCTTCATGGGGCATGTGTTTCGTTTGTCAGTCGCACGCTTGCTCTCGGTTTGAATACGGTAATGCTGCTGGAATTTGCCTCTTTAGCTTAATTAGCACATCCACAAAGCACAGCTTAAGCTATTCGGGCACATTCTCCGATCCCATCCGACCAGCACAGAACGGAACTGCTATTTTACGCATAGATTTCAGTACAGTGGGGGAACGGTAGGAGCAGGCCTCAGGCCAGGTAGGAGGCGAGTCCACTGGACAGAACAGTGCACCAAACTACTTTGGCACTGGCTTTCAAAGTCCTCCCGGCACCCTCTAACCCGCTAGCCTACCTTCCCGTTTTCGTATCTACAAGCTCACAGACTAGCTGTAGACCGCCACTTTTGGAGTAAGCTAGTGAGGCTACCAACGTGCAAGACACTCCTCTCAGCCAACTCCTTTTCGATCTACTCATAGACCGTACAATAGGAGTTACTGCGCGAGGGTTGCATAGGGCCGCCCAAAAAATGCTGCTGGAACGGAGCAACTTTCGTGACACTCGGCGGATACAACAGGCAAGCCATGATGCTCATGATGCGCCTGTTTGGAGCATCTCTCGCAGCGATCCCAATCCATGACTGTACAGACTCGCAGAGGCTTGAGCGCTTGAAGGATTCGCCTCTGGGGTGATAAAGCGACGAGCACTCGCACGGTGAGAGGCGCAGTGCCCGCACCGTGCGTGTGTCAGCATCATTATTTAAGCCACATTGGTCTCACCCCAACTGTGGAGAATGTGGGCTTTGGAGCACAGATTGCGCTGCATTTCCCTCTAAGTGTGCATGTGATGTGTCCTCTTGCTTTGCACTTGCGCGAAACCGGGTTACAGATGTTTGAAGACTCCCATCGGCCACGCCGATAGTTCAGATGTACCCCGCCTGTTGTCGACCTCTTCGGCTAAGAATGTTGCTTTGGCAGAATCTCAGATTCGAAACCGTTCACAAGAGGGAGCGAAGCAGGGAGCTCTGCACGGCAAAGCCGCAGAGCAGCTCCGAGCATCGAGGAGAGCCGGCTTTCAGCCACTCACGGCTGACAGCTCCCGCTGCATTCCGATTTATTCTGAATTCCGAGTGCCACGTCTGAGAGCTGTTGCCGTCTTGGAGGCGCATCGTGCTTCAATAGCGGTCGGGTAGCACCCGACCTCAGTGTCCGACAGTCAGAATACGAAAAGTGGCGATCAGCCGATCGCGCTAAACCTGGTCCGCAGGCAATCCTGACAGTTTGCCCACGTTCTACTGTTAGACTGCCATGTACTGCTCAGGGCACCGCAGTGGCCTGCACGCAGCAGAGCTGTCATTGTTGCTGTTTGCCTCAAGCCTCGTCAAAGCTCTCCAAGCCGCCATCCAATCTTCAAAGGCAATGACTCCGAGAGTAGACTGTTACACTGTAGACGTGGTGGCGAAACTTGTGCCAGGCTTCCAAAGATGGCTGAGGCACTGGATCCTACAGTCGCACACAGAAGGCTTGCAGGCCGGAATGTGACAGGCTGCTGATGCCCCGCAGCACATCCAGCTGAAGGCCCAGTTCGTAAGATGCCGGTTGCTGCTCTCTTTGCAGCCGCTGGCGATACTATGCCGCCGTCCGTTGCAGGTGAAGGACCAGCAAGGCAGCGAGGCTTGGGACTGAGTTTCTCAAATCTGGGACGTAGGGCTGCAGTCGCAAGATGTCGCAAGGTCCAGTTCAAAATCAAGAAGACAACTCCTCTGAGGCTCGGGCTGAGGCAAGTGAAAGCTCCGCAGTTGAATCCCACTCCAGGAAGCTCATGGATGCCTATTGCAGCCGCCTGGGCCTACAAGCATCCCAGGCCGGCCAAAGATCGGAGAGCTAAGGTGCGGCGCGGTACCGACTCGGTCCCACAATTGTCTCCGGAGTTGCGAAGTTTTCTTGACACAAGTACATGAGCTCGGCCTCTGAGCTCTGCTTTTGCGAGGTTCGGTTCATGGTGGACGGAGAGCGAATCGCTGCCGATGACACGGCCGAGAAGCTGGGACTCGAGGAGAGCCGACAGCAAAGAATCGCACGCTTGGAAATTCCATTCGCTGCTTTGGCAGCCCAAGACATGTCAGCACAGGACGAGGATTTGATTGATGTGGCCATGGAGCAGACAGGCAAGCAAGAGACCTGCATAGGCGGTTGTTTTGTTGACGCTCCGCGCCGTCTGCTACAGGCAATCCTGCGCTGGTGCAGTTTTAGATGAGCTGTTGAGTTCAGCAGAAGCAGATTGCGACCTCGAATACTACAACAATTACTACTCAAGGTTCCTAGGACAGGCTGCAGCAGCCGCAAGGACATAAGCACGCAGCGCGCCAGCCAGAGCAAAGAAGTGGGGATGGGAAGGAAGGGGGAGGGGCGGTGGGCGACGGGGAGGAGGGGGCTAGAGGAGGGGAACCTTTCACGGCCCAACCGGGCCGATGCGATTTTATTCTTGATGCCAGCAAAAAGAGAGAATGGCTGTTAGACTCACCGAGTCCCTGCAAAGCTTTGTTGCGCGTGATTCACGAGCATTTGCACATCCAGCATTCATCATGTACAGGTGGCCGCTGAAAGATCCGAACGACTCCCTGATCGCATGATGCTGGCCAGCTCAGTCCAGATTGGCCTGCGTTGCCGAAGCTTCAGCATCCGTATGTATCAAACATGTTGTAGTTGAGAGGGTCATACTCTAAGCCCAGAAGCATTATTCTTATCGGTGCGCAAGCGGCCATGGGACGGATGCATCCGCCCGGGAGAGCAGGCGTGGATGGGGTTGCCATGCCTCTGTGACGGCAGACTGCCTTGCCTTTGGCCTGGCATTGCGGCCATGACTGTGAGTGCCCAGGACACACTGTAGTCTATGGAGATGTATGGAGCTCGGTTGCTTTTAGATGCTAGATGTTACGCTAAAGTAGTAAGGGAGCCACAATTTTGCTCCACGGCCTGATGCTGCCAAGTTCTGCCGGCATGTCAGTCGCATTAGTTGTACGGTTCGGTGCCTCTGTAGACATTGGAGGAGCTTCCTGAAATAAATTCACGGATCTATCTCCGAATGAAAACTATTCACAAGTGGCCCGCATCGTCCAGATCAGATGTGTCAGCCAGTTGCCATGGGACTAGGGAGTCTATGAACCCCCCTAAAGCTTTCAGGCGCTGAAAAGCGTGCACTGTTTGCTGTGCGCGGTCTGATGCTCCGGAACATTTGACCCACTCTGAACGTCGCCTCCTGCTTGCACATGGCGTTCAGGCACTTAGCACTGCTGATAACCTGTGCTACAGAACGTCAAAGGTGCCTGTGACACATATCGGTGATATCACCCTCCCTAGCAATTGCGTTTCGTGCAAAGCAGCATGAAACTCCGTCGGCCGGGTAGTCCTGGCTCAGTACGGGGACACTGCAGCAACATCTTGCATCATGTCATGTTTCCGCGACGACGGCGCCAGTCCCCCAAAGCTGAGTATAGGTTCAGATGCGTCCTTGATGCTGCCATGTGTTGGACTTGGGGCGTCTCATGATGGGTGAGGGCAAAGATTAAATATGTGTTATCTGGCAGCAGGTTCTACCACGACCATTGACGCCAACCAGATTGGAAGACTCGTGCCGCAGCTATTTGTCAGCCGCACAGGGCAAGCAACACCAGATTTGTGTGGGACTGGGTATGTACGACCCATGCCTCGACTTAACTTTGCTTCAGTGCATAGAACTCCGGCCTTGTCTTCGATGCACTCGTGAACTACCAAGGAGAGGAGTGTGTTAGCCATTCTGGCATGCTCTGCTGAATCAAGCACGTAAGCAGAAGCGTAAGCGCTTCTCAGCCCACCAGCCGATGACAGTGTAGCCATGCGTCCGGGCAGGAGCGACAGTCTTGGGGTACCATCCTCACCCCACCCAGGCAGTCTCTATGTTCTCTTCATATCTGATTCCGGACATTCGCTTCAGGGCAAGGGAAAGTTCAACCTTCCTATCTATGCTGTGGTGCCATGTAGTGCCCAGTGTAGTTAATTAATTTGGCATGCAAATCGCAACTGGATGCGCATGAACCTGCATTTGTGCGGATATTTCCGGCGGTCTGTGGGAATGCGAAGGTCAAATTGTCTCGGTTCCACAAGCCAGTGCGAGTTGGCGGCATTGATGTACTGTTGCGCCTCCCGAGATTTCCGAGCAAGTCATGTAAGGCGGCAGCGGCACTTGGGGAGAGAAGGTCAGTGACGGAAAAGAGACGTAGGCCACTTCGCAACAGTTCGAGTTGTTGGGCCCGCGAGTTTGCAGCCGCTTCCGCCATCCTGGTGTCTCAGAAGATCTCAGAAGCTGGCTCATCGTCGATGCCCGCTCACTGCGGCTTACCAGTGGCAACTAGATTAGCTTGGATTTGGGCCCGAGGCGCAAGGACGAGGGAAGAGTCAAACCGGCCCCTTGCAGCGCGTTGGCAAAATGCTCGGCTCGGCGGCCTTTGGCGTTGTCTGCTTTTGCTTGGCTGTGACACGCTGAAAGCCACAAGCGAGAGATGATAATGCAGTGTCAAGTGCGGCCGCTTGCAGGACAGCGGCCGATGGCGACACGCTGTCGCAGGGACACCCAAACGTAGTTTAGCGATGATTTGAGGGATCTGACAGTTGAAATCAAGACAGTGTCCAAGTTTGAGGAGAGATGTTGCCTTGAGCCTTGAGAGATCTTCAGTTTCGGCTTGTGGCCTCTGCGAAGGCGCATCAGCGAGGGCAGCAATGAGGCATGTATCGCGAAACCGTATCTGACTGTTCATGTGTCTGCTGATGCAAGTTTATCAGTTTATCCATTCGCGTCTATCTGAGTCTATCTACGCCTTAGACTTAGGTTGTCCTGCGATACACAGCTGACTAATCTGACTCTCTGCATGCAGGCTGGGTCCGTCGTATCTTCGTACTTCTCGGCCATCTCCGGCGCTGTTGGCGGCGGTTCGGTGGGAGAGCCCGGTCGCGGTGGTCGGGGATTGTAGTTTCTACTTGTGCTCGGAATTGTACTGACCATTCGCACCTCGAACGTAATCTTGACATGTGAGGCCTAATGCGTGCCCACATGACAAGTCGGATTGCTCTTCCCAATGATGCTGCAACCCACTTGGGAGGCCGGTCGCGTCGGGCCTGGAGACTTGTTGAAGGCAGCGCTGAGGACAGGTGCAAGCGAGAGTCTTAAGTACAACCGCCGACGAGGGAGAGTGACAGTGCGAACAATGAGGACCCCAACAAAGGACAAGTGCGCGGTCAGGCTTCAGACATCCAGCTGCCGTTGACAATTTCGAGCATAGATTTTGACATCTGTGATCTCACGCTGGGTGCAGCTATGACCGGTTCATGCCAGGTCTTCGCCGACTGTGCCTGGCGCGAACCTCGAGGTGAGTTGCGTTTGCTGAGACGTGCTGCAGATGCTCAGTTGAATTGGTGTCCTGAGTAGCTTTGAACGATTTGAAGGGCAGAGCGCCGCACTCTGGAACCCTTTTTTATTTGTTGCCTGGCTGGTGCGCATTTGCACATAATGCAGGACCAGGCTGCTTTTCGAGAGATCGTGAAGGCGTGCCGAAGATTTTGAATTTGTTATTGGATGTTCTTGGGGCTTTCACAGCTATTCCGCCAGAGTCACGATGCTGCTTTACATTGCATTGCCTGCTTCAGGGTTGCCTTAGTAAGGCCTTCGTGGAAATTGGAGTCCGTGGCCGGCTCGTTGAAGCTCTGCGCCTTGCACTCAAAGTGCCCGACTGGAATGTGCCAAGTGCTTGCGAGGTTTTAGATTTGACTGTGACCATGCCGCATGAGCAGCATGGACTGCAAAAGCCATCCTTCACTGATGCGATCCACTCTGTGCGATCTTCAGGGTCAGCGCAGCGCAAGACAAGTACAATGTAGCGACACGTACAACAAACTAATGTGAGTCAGCGTGTGCGCTTTTGTACACACGGTTTTGGCTTACGTAGACGCATACACACACCCGCATCTTCTTCACCAAAAAGCTGGCGCATTTTTCCTACGCTGCGAGTCGAAAGACGAAGACGCATGTGGGCTTTGATTCCTGTACGGTCTCATGAGATATGTAGATGGTTCATTTTTTCGATGTGCATGGCGTGGATCTTCGATCCTGGCGGCTTCCCATACCATCACTTCCGAGGGCCAATATGTATGTATGCGCATATGGCCTGCATACTGCATGCCTGCATGAAGAGCTGTAATTGTGGCGAGGAATGGCGAGGATGCAGATAGAGACAACCAGATAGACAGTAGATCGATAGACAAACAGACAGACAGACAGAAATTAACAGAAAGAAAGAAACCAGGTAGATAGATATTGATAGACATATGGAAAGGAAAGGATAGGATAGGATAGACTAGTTGACAGAATCTGACAGACAGAGACAGACTGACTGAGTGACTGACCGACAGACCAACAGACAGACAGACAAACACAGACAGGCAGACAGACCATTAGATTGCCCTGCAAACCGTGGGAAGGACAACTCGGCTGGCCAACAGCTTCAAGATGTCAGCTCAAACTCCAAAGCCCCACATCCGCATGCCCTTATTGTGCTCGGTTGGTGCTGTGCCTAACGCAGGGCTTAAGACTCGGGTAAGCCTCAAACTTGGTGCGTTTTCCTCGGAATCTATGCTCAGCACGTCAGATGCCTTTGGCATCTAGACGTTCAGACATAGATCGAGAGCAGTCCGGGAAGATATGAGGTTCAAATGTCCAACCTGGGGGTGTGGGATCGTGCTGTAGCCAGAAAATGCCACCGTCAGCAGCGTGGGTAGGTGAATCTTTTCGAGTTCTACTTTTTTGGTCGGGACGGAGCTCGTCCAAATTGGTCACATTCCATTTTCGTTTGTGTTGTGACTGTCATTGGCGCTTTAGGTGGAGACGGACGAGCCCAGCCCGTCGTCTTCCGTCTTAGCCGTGAGGTGTGCTGCTGCCTCTCTCTCGGGTTTGCAACGATAGCCCGGGGAAGTCTTGTCATATCTCATTCTCCTGGTTGTGTCGTTGGCATCCGTATCCCTATAGTGTGACGACCCTCACTCACGCTGCTGCCCTGGACATCAGCATTTGCAACACGGACTGTCCGCAGGTCGATGCCTTCGAGATTGGTCCTGAACCAGGTCGAGGTGGCAATGCAAAAACAGAGAATACGTGTTCGACGTTTTCTGGCAGGGAGCACGAGCATGTGCTTATGTCTAGTCCAGGCGCAGGTGCAAGATGCATGTACA